TCCAGTGATGCAGCCACAAGCTCAAGAATGCCAGGGCAGCAGCCCTCAGAAACTAAGAGACAAAAATGAATTCCACTCCAGGGCCCCCAAAAAAAGTGTGGCCCTGCTGGATCTTCTACTTCTAGCCTCCAGAAATGTGAAAGAATAAATTCCTCTTGTCTTAAGCCACTAAGTTTGTGATAATTTGTTACAGCAACATTAGGAAACTCAGAGAGATTTAAGCAACTTGCCCTAAGTCACAAAGCTGTGAACCCAGAATTCAAACCCGTGTTCTTAACCAATATATTATATTGCCTGTAAGCTGAACTGAATTTGTCATCAAGTGTCTTGGATTCATTTATTCTACAAATGTTTATTCAGTGCCTACCATGGACAAGGCCTGTACTGGCTGAAGATACAATAATGAAAAAAACAGAAACATTCTTGCCTTTGCATACTCTACAATTTAGTGGAAGAACAAAACTTTGAGCAAGTACTTTCACATGCACAGAAATACTGAAAGTCATTTAATTCCAGCTGTGATAGATGCTGCAAAGGAGATGAATGAAAAAAAAATAAGACTTATCCTGGGATACAGCATCAGATCCATCGGAGGTAGGCCCAGCTAATGGCTGAGGTAGTGGTCAGCTCTTCATTCCCTCTGGCCTGCTTGCTGAGGGTTTGAGGGCCTACAGCTCCACTTCAGCCCTCCTGAGCTTGCGGAAGTTGGTCCACAAACTGGGCAAGTCCATTATTTGCGGATAAAGACCCACAAAAGAAGAAAGGCAGTAGAGAGTTTGGCAGACAGCGAGCTCTGCAACCCGTTGCAGACATTATTGTGAGGCAGTGGAGTGTGTGGAAACTTCTTTTAGACAAACTTGGAAAATCTTGCCTTCCTGTACCAAGCAAGATTTCCTGTAGGGCCATGAGAAGCTCACTAATTATCTCTTTAGTTCCAAGCTATATTACTTCAGGGAAGTTTCTGACAAGGATTCATACTTAAGTATCTCTTTGTCTGGGTTTATTATGTCAAATGCTTATTTGCTTTTAAAAAAAAAAATGCCCGGAGTCTTAGCTGGTCAAGCAGTTAAGGAAGTTCAAATCCCCACATACCTCAGAGGCAGAGCTCCTAGTCTCTGCCTTGATTGCTGCAAATAACTTATTTTCTGGCAATTTTCAGCAAATGATTTCATTCTCTGTGAGCCCAAAGTCATGCCTAACCAACCCTGGCCCTTGGACCATGGTTGTATAGAATTAAAATTGACCTACAAGAATTTTCTATCCCTGACCCTACAAGAAATTTCTATCCATGACCTTTGGTTGTCTTCTGAACTCAGAAACCTAGATTCTTCCCAAAGATCCTTCCTAGGACTCTAATTTCAACCCCAGTGTCCCCAGTAGTTACATTCATTTCTTCATTCAACAAGTATTTATTGAGCACCAGCCATGTGGCAGGCACTGTGCTGAGGATACAGAGGTGAAAGTACAAAATTCCTCTCTTATGAGCCTCGCTTTCTGGTGGAGTTAGCAAATCCCTGTGTGGGAAGTACTATTATACCTGACACTTCCTAAGCACCATTTAATTTGCCATAAAAACTCTGCAAGGCACATACTATTGTGTCCATTTCATAGACAGGAACACAAGTTCAAAGTAAAACGATTCGGCTAGTGAATGCAGAACCTGAATTCAAATTCAGGTTTTCCCGGTTACCAAGTCCATGTTCTCAATGACTACTTATTTCTAAAATAATAATCTGTGTATGAAGGGAGGAAAGAAAGAAGGGGCTTAGAAGGCTTTTTGCTGGTAGGATATCCTTTGTGGAAGGGGATATTCTTGATTGCCTTTAGGTGGTTTTTCTTATTTGTACTTTTTCTTTGATTTTTGTATTTCCTTCAATAAATATCCTATACTTTTGTAGTTAGATAAAAAAAAATAAGTAAAAGACATAAACATTTAAAAACTCATATGTACCCCTAAGAATTGAAAACAGGTATCCAAACAAATGCAGATACACACATATTCATAGCTGTATTACTCACGGTAGCCAAAAGATGGAAGCAGTGTAAATGTCCATCCATGGAATGATTGGTAAACCAAGAATGGGACAGACAGATGGAATATTATATAGCCATAAAAATGAATGAAGTTCTGATACATGCCATAACATGATGCTGAGTGAAAGAAGCCAGACCTAAAAGGTCGCATGTATGATTTCATTCATGTGAAATATTCAGAAGAGATAAATGCACAGAGGCAGATATTGGATTTGTTGCCAGGGGCTGGCTAGAGTGGGAAAAGGGAGCAGCCACTTTATAGGAACAGACTTCCTTTTGGGCCGCCAGATGTGTTTTCCAATTGGATAGAAATGCTGATTGTACAACATTGTCAGTGTACTAAATGCCACTGAATTGTTCAGTTTAAAACAGTTAATTTTATGTTAAGTGAATTTTGCCAAAATAAAACAAAAATAAGAAAACTCTAAATAAACAAAACAGTCACAATGAAGAGCTCTGGCCTTGCTATTCTTCTGTACTGCTGGGTCCCTGAATGCTCCAAAAATAGCTTTAACATTGCAATGCTAACTGTTTTTACTTAGTGCCACAGCCCCAGTTTCGAGTAAGAGCTCTGGCATGTCCACTAATAAAGTAACTCTGGGCCATTCACTAACCCTCTCTGGACTTCTGTGTCCTCAGTTGTCATGCAAAGGTAAAAATGTCCACTGAAGTCATTCCCAGATCCTAATATGATAACACTGTGCTTTGTAAACTGTAAATTGACTTGAATATGTGTTTCTTTATTTTTATGTCAAGAAACAGTAGGTGATCTGAAATTATCTCTGTTTACCAAGCATCTGTGTTAAAAGAACTGTGAGCCTAAGGGGTAAGATCTTGGTAAAGGGTCTATTTAGAGGCCATACTTTCTGTTGATGTTGATATTGCTGTTTTTTGTTTGTGGGTGTTTTGGTTTTGTTTTTACTTTATAATAAAGTTACTCATGTAAAAAGGAATGTTTGGGGCTAGGAGAAATGTTGAGGTAATGGAAGACTCTTAACAGTGAGACCATACATTGAACACAAGAGCTCAGGGAAAGCCTTTCTGCTGGTGACAGGCATTTTTCTGCGAAGAATTCCCAATAGGAATAAAATATTGCTGATGATAGTCGAGTCAGACTTTTGTCTTGGGGTGCAAGCAAATCATATATAGACCTTGAGTTACTGGCCTTGCAATGAGTGTCACTTTGGTGCCAAGTAACAGAAGGATGCTATCATCCTGCATCGAATCAGAGGAGCCCACTGTAGCTCATCCCTCCAGGCCACCCAAAGCAGTTAGACAGTGCCTTCTCAGCTCTCAGCAGCCCTCATCCTGCCCAGAGAAGAATTTGGAGAAGGCCTCGGGAAACCTTGAAAAGCCACCTCAGCATCCACCCAAACAGCTTAGGTCCTCTTTCCCAGGGTCAGCTAAAGCAGGAGACTTCTAACAGGAAGATAGATGGCTCCCAGCAGCTCAGCAATTTTAAGGCAAGGTGGGCCTGATGGGTCACCTGTACCATTTATTGCCCTTATTCTTAAATCTTTTTCTTACAAACAAACAAAAAACACTAGCCCTTGCAAAATCTAAACATATTTATTTATTGTAGAAAATCTAGAAAATAAAATGAAGCCAAAATTATATTACTGCTAACAGATAGCTTTTATTCTTTTAATTCTTTTAATTATGTTACTGCTAACAGATAATCTTTTAATTTTATGCATATGTTTTATAGATATATTTACTGAAATGGAATCATATTGAAGCATTCTCTTTTGTAAACATTTGTTTCTTACCAACAATTTCACAAACATCATTCTGTATCTCTGTTACCAGGCTGGAGTGCAGTGGCACAATCTGGGCTCACTACAACCTCCACCTCCTGGGTTCAAGTGATCCCCTTGCCTCAGCCTCCTGAGTAGCTGGGACTATAGGTGCCACGCCCAGCCAATTTTTTGTGTTTTAGTAGAGACGGAGTTTCACCATATTGGTGAGGATGGTCTCCATGTCCTGACCTCACGATCCACCTACCTCGACTTCCCAAAGTGTTGGGATTACAGGTGTGAGCCACTGCACCTGGCCTAAATTTAGTTCTTATCTAAGACATTGATATGGCTGTTGGCAGGAAGAGGAAAAGGATGTAGACAGAGCCTCCATCATGATTACACTTTGTCTTGTCAGTGTGGAGAACTGCCTCTCTTCTCTTACAAATGCATGCAGTTTAGATCTTGTTTTTAAAATAATTTCACTGATTTCAGCATCTTCCTGTTTCTCTGATCTTCAAAGTCAGCATTCCCATTTTGTCATATTAATTCACTCAACAAGCATTTGTTGAGCTATGTGCCAGATGCTACAGTAGGTGCATAAATAAATAATATGCATCTGTCCTCAAGATGCTCACAGTCTAGTGGGAGAAACAGAACAAATGAAGTGAGCATATAATATATTTGGGGAAGTTTGGGATAAGGCTTTGTGGAGGTGACATTTGAGTTGGGTATTACGAGATGCATGGGTGTTTGCTAAATAGGAAGCAGCTTAAGGACACATCTTGCCGTGACCCGCATCTCCTCTCTTTAGCCCACATGAATGCCAATATTGCATGCGTATTTTCTCTCACAGTTCTTGCTGTTTTTCTACAAGCAGCGTTTTCTCATTCACAATTAGATTTTTATTCTTGGCATTCTAAAAGATGCAATTGTGATTCAGAAATGCTAAGAAGAAATAATATGCACCATTCTTTAGCTAGAGGACTTAAAAAATTTTTTGGATACATAGTAGGTATATATATTTGTGGGTTATTTGAGATATTTTGGTACAGGCATGAGATGCGTAATAATTACATCATGGAAAATTGGGTATCTGTTCCCTCAAGCATTTATCCTTTGTGTACAAACCAATTATACTCTTTTAGTTATTTTAAAATGTACAGTTAAATTATTATTGTCTATAATACCCCTGTTGGGCTATCATTACTAAGTCTTATTCATTCTTTTAAAAATATAGAACACTTCACAAATTTGCATGTCATCTTTGCCCAGGGGCCATACTAATCTTCTCTGTATTGTTCTGATTTTAGTATATGTGCTGCCAAAGCAAGCCCTAGAGGAATTTTTAAGATGTATTCAGATCATTGAACATCCTATGTCACTCATGTCTTTTTTCAGTACTAGTTTTATGATCATTACTTCTTATATATATATATATATATATGTATATATTTTTATTGTACTTTAGGTTCTGGGTACATGTGCAGATCTTGCAGGGTTGTTGCATAGGTGCATACATGGCAAGGTGGTTTGCTGCCTCCATTCCCCCTTCATCTGTATCCAGCATTTCTCTCTACATTATCCCTCCCTACCCTCCCCAACCCCGCTGTCCCTCCCCTAGCCCCTATAATATATTTATATTAATAAAAATAATTATTATTAACATTCATAGAGTACCTTCCACATGCTAGGTGCTGTGAATGGTACCTTACATATATTATCTCCTTTTACCATTAACAGAGAAGAAATCTGACCTCAGAGAGGTTGAGTAACCTAAGGTCATGATGCGACTCATAAAGCAGCAAAACAGATTTGAACATTGGTTTCTCTGTCTCCTAAGCCTGGCCATTTACATATTCTTATTCTACCCAATCATTCAATATACTCTCCGACTCTCTTCCTTGTTCTTTACCCATTGATTCTTCTCTGTAATTGCCCTTTGGATTAGATACCACACACTGTGTGACTTAACGGAAATGTGTTGTATTACACTTCTGGAGGCTGGAAAGTCCAAGATCAAGGTGCAGCAGTGATCACTTTCTAGGAAAGACTCTCTTTCTGCCTGGCAGATGGCCATTGCCTTTTTGCTCTGCGCTTACATGGCAGAGAGAGACAGACTGACAAGTCTCTCTTATTTTTATGAGGCCAACAATCTTATCAGATTAGGGCCCACCCTTATTACCTTATTTAATGTTACCTCCTAAAAGCCCTATCTTTTTTCTTTTTTGAGATGGAGTTTTGCTCTGTTGCCCAGGCTGGAGTGCAATGGCACGATCTCAGCTCATGACAACTTCCACCTCCTGGGTTCAAGTGATTCTCCTGCCTCAGCCTCCTGAGTAGCTGAGATTGCAGGCATGCACCACCATGCCTGGCTAATTTTATATTTTTAGTAGAGATAGAGTTTCTCTATGTTGGTCAGGCTGATTTCAAACTCCCAACCTCAGGTGATCCACCCACCTCAGCCTCCCAAAGTGTTAGCTAGGATTACAGGTGTGAGCCATAGCGCCCAGCCCAAGCCCTATCTTTAAATACAGTCACATTGGGGTTAGGGCTTCAACCCTAACTTCAGTATAAGTTTTGGAGGAACACAGTGCAGTCCATTGTACCACTCTTAAAACATTGCATATATTTTTTCCATGGTTTTGCTTATGCTGTTTTCTCAGCATAAGCTTTCTGTCTTTCAAAATCTTTTCAATTGTTGATTACCCAACTCAAATGTCATTTCCTATAAAGCCTTCTCTGGTTTTCCAGTCAAATTTAGTTGCCCTTTTTCCTACTCAGTAATGATACTTTGATGGTATTTTGATGAGCCCTGATTTTGCCCAAACTACATTATATATTTAATAGTATATATAAATTTAAGCTTTTTGAAGTTAGGGACTGTGCCTTAATATGCTCCCAGTTTACTCTCAATTTTATTGGTACTCCATAATATTTATGACTTGAGTTTTTCATTAGTTCCAAAGAATGAGGGAGGCATTTGGGTGAGTATAGGCTACATAAGAGAGATGCTTGTGCCCATCTCCCAGTGTTGGAAGTGATGCCTTGCAGAAGACAGAAAAATGTTGCTTGAGGGGTTTAGACTGAAAACACCAGGTAAAAGTTACAAAGAAGCAGATTACTGCCCAATATATGAAAAAACTTTTTAACAACCTAACAGTGAAGGAAACTAACACTCATTGATAATCAGTTGCTAAACTGCTGCTTTACAATTTCCACTTCCACATGGCCTTATAAAATAGTTTCCATCTTTATAGATGAGAAAATGAAAGTTCCCAAAAGTCTAAAGATCATGTAGTCTACCTCCTTCACTCATTTCTTCATGGAGAAGTAATCTCCCTTTCTGTAGAGACATTAAAGCCAACTGCATGACCAGTTCGCAGGAATGCCATATCAAGAATGCTCTGGGGGTGTTGGTATAACTAATATTTCAGTTTCTTTCATCTCTGAAGTCTTCTGACTCAGGAATTCTCCATCCCTGATATGGTTTTAATGGAAATAGACCTATAAAACCTAACGTCTCCCATCCCTTTGTGGATAACATATATTATAAAACTTGTATTAAGATTACTACAAATTATCATTACATGATTTCATGTATGGTGGTCCTGTCAACTGGGGTGTGTGTGTGTGTGTGTGCGCGCGCGTGTGTGTGTGTGTGTGTGTGTGTGTGTGTGTGTTGAGACAGGATCTCACTCTTGGCCCAGGCTGAAGTGCAGTGGCATGATCGCAGCTCACTGCAGCCTCGACTTCCTGTACTCAATCGATCTTCCCACCTCAGCCTCCTGAGTAGATGGGATTCCAGGCACATACCACCATGCCTGGCTAATTTTTTTGTGTTTTTTGTAGAGATGAAGTTTTGTCGTGTTTCCCAGTCTGGTCTCAAACTCCTGGGCTCAACCGACCTGCCCGCCTCGACCTCCCGAAATACTGCAATTACAGGCATCAGCCACCATACCCAGATTCTGTCAGTATTTATGAAGCTGTTTGGGGGACACAGCTTAGAAATATCCATACTAACAAAATTGACTTGATTCTGACCAGTAGAGACTAAATTTTCAACTGAGGGCTACACTGCCTGGGGAAGAAAATGGTAATATGCATGAGTTGTCCCGGGTTATAGAAGTCAGATGGATGAAGTACTTCGCCTTACTATCCTGAGTACATTTCATGCTGAAGGTGGGTCCCAGCAGCCAGAGCCCCCCAGGGTCAACTTCTGGGGCAGGCAGCCAACGTTCTGATGCAGCTGCCATTTTTCTTGGGTGATTTATTTGTGAAAGTGTCTCCCCCAAAAGAATTTGGGTCTTGTTCTTTTTCCCAGAGCCAGGCTCTTATTATACCAGAAGAGTCTCTTTATACAAATGGATCCCAGTTGGAAGGTTTATGAATGTTAAGGATAGTTGTTCATTCCAAATACATAACCCTTTTTGTCTGTGGCATCTTATATTTGACTATAGTGCTTTTTCTAGTTAACAGAATTGGATCTTTGAATCCTAGGGTGTACATTTTGATGCGACTTCAGAGATAACTTAAAAAATGATCGCGTATTTCTGTCTTCTAAATTCAGGTGGTTTAACTCATTATTTCTTTTTTCTGATGTGAAGGCATAGCCTTGAATCTGAACACAGGTTTTGCTTGTGTGTGTGTGTGTGTGTGTGTGTGCACGCGCATGGGCAATATAACATTTTGGCATGTGCTATGAAATCTTCTGTACTCTTTTTTTTTTGTCCTGATTAGAAGAAAGATGACAACACTAAATCAACTGCCAAGAACATCCAAAACCAGTTCAGTATTTCCCCCTGGTTTCTTTTCCTAGGAAAAATATCATAGGTATCTTCCTCCTTTTCCATTTTCATTATATAAAATGTGTTGTTCCTGGACTGAGATTGAAGAATAAAGAGAATGCTATTTTGCAGTGTCTTTCAAAGAATAAATGCCATCAAAACACTTGAATATGAAGTTGACACTACTTTGAAATAATGTAGCCCAGTCTGCCTGAAGCTTAACAGACATGACCCAAAGAAAAAAATGATTCACGCAATATCAAGAGTACCTTGTGGCAGAGGTGGGACCAGACTTTATCCCCTGGGCTTCACTGAACAGCCTTGTAACACCATAGCTTCTCAGAAGTATCCTAAGATTGCAATGGAGACCAGACCAAGCAGTTGACCCCATTAGAGCTTGGAGGATACCATCAGGGCAGTGTGTCTTTGTTTCTTCTTAATCACAGTCTTATTATAAGCCTCAAGGATTTAGGACCACCAAAAGGAAATTCTCAATTTCCATTGCTTTTTGTACTCAACTTTTAAAGACAAAGATGGAAAAGATAAGAAAATAAACAAGGGACTTTTTTTTTTTTTTACAAAACAATGTTCTATATGAAACTACTTATAAGAAGTACCTAGAATAGTCAAATTCATAGACAGAAAGTAAAAGGGTGGTTGCCAGGGATTGGGAGGAAAGGAGAATGGGGAGTTAGTCTTTAGTGGGCATGAGGTTTCAGTTTGGGAAGATGAAAAATATTTTGGGATGGATGGTGATGATGGTTGCATAACACTGATTGTCCTTAATGCCACTGAGCTAAACACTTAAAAATAACTGAAATGGGGCTGGGTGTGGTGGCTCACGCCTATAATTCCAGCACTTTGAGAGGCCGAGGCGGGTGGATCACAAGGTCAAGAGATCGAGATCATCCTGGTCAACACGGTGAAACCCCGTCTCTACTAAAAATACAAAAATTAGCTGGGCATGGTGGTGTGCGTCTGTAGTCCCAGCTACTCGGGATGCTGAGGCAGGAGAATTGCTTGAACCCCAGAGGCGGAGGTTGCGGTGAGCCAAGATCGCGCCATTGCACTCCAGCCTGGGTAACAAGAGCGAAACTCCATCCAAAAATAATAATAATAATAATAATAGAAATGGGACATTTTGTTATGTGTATTTTACCGAAGTTTTCAAAAACCACATCCTTGGTATAATCTGGAATCTCCATACCCCTATGCACGTGCATCCCCAGAAACAGGATATCATATCTAAAGAATAATAATAAATTTATGCTATTTTTAATTCACCTTAATTTTGTTGTTTTCAAAATAATTGCATATACATGATGGCATCTAATGGTCACCAAAACTGGGAGAAAAGCATGACAGATCTTTTATTTCACAGATGAGGAAACTGAGGCTCAACGTTACACTGCTGACGAGTAACAGAGTGGTACTAGAACCCTGGACTTGTGATATATATTCCTGGAGCCATGTATGATCCCATGTAAACATTTTAAATTGATACTTAACATATTATACTTACTAATCTTGGAAAATAGACTAATACATTTTAAAAGGATTTTCAAAAACTTGAAGTGGTTCAGAGGTTTTGAGCATGAAAGTAGGTTAACTTAGTTACCTCACTGTCTAGACATTCTGATTAACTGAAGTTTTACTATATACAAACCCTTACATAGAACTTCACTGTGCACCAGGTACTGCTGTAAGTGCCTTAAGTATACTTACTCACTTACTGAAATGTATTATTTGTATTTAAAATGTACAACAAAATTTATTGAGACTTGCATGTGCCAAACACTTTCCTCGGTGCTTTGTACACTTTATCTCATTTAATCCACACAACAGTCAGAAGCAACAGGTATTACTGGAGCTTGGAGATGTGAAATAATTTGCTCAAGGATACACGAGAACAAGTGACACAGCCAGGACTCCAATCCAGGTCCACCCACCTCTTCACTGTGACTCAGATGGTGTCGTGTGGGTCTTCCTAATCACTGTCATCTCTAAATATTACTTACGTCATTCAAGTAGCTGGAGCAGTGTCCAAGGAGGGGTGCTGGATGGCTCATAGTTTACTTCTTGAGAGACTTCTGAGTTTCACCCTGAAATTCTGACTTGAAATTTGATTCCATTGCTGAAAATGGAAGAAATACAGCTTTCATCTTCATGTGCAGTTTGCTTTTTCATTTTTTTTTTTAATTATCCTGAGATGTGCTGTAAATCACACTTTCCCAACAGTCCTGGGGGTTCTGATTATGTTCATGGGCTCTAGCTAAGAGCAAGGGCAGTAAATTACTGCCACTTTGTTTGGAAATTTTTTTAGCCACAGTACATTAGCTGCTTCTGTTTGCTTTTCCACTGGTGGTGTGCCCGTTTTTATTTCAGAATTTGTGTTTCTTGAATGTCTCATATGTGAATAATGTAGCTTCCAAAATGGAATGGTTGGAGAAAAAAATATGAATGAGGGTGTCTTTTTTGGCACCTGTAAGATTTTAAAGCATTTATAGCAAAAATGAGTTATCGAATCTCCCACCTCTCCCTCTCACTCTCTCTCTCTCTCTCTCTCACTTATTCATTATCTGCATTCTCTTTCCTTCCTATTCTCTCCATTCTACTCCATTTTCCCCAAAACAATTGCTAGATAATGACCATTGCAGTGGCTAATATCAGGTAACTACCAAGAATTGCCTTCTTTCAGGCTTTTCTGAATATTCTTGTTTATTTGAAAGATTGATAGATCAGAGGGTCAGGGGATGTGTTTTATTCTAAGTTTCTGTTCCAAATTTCCTGACATTTTCCATTAAAAATATGTAAATAAGTAAGCCTTTAAAAAGGAAGGAATGTGACTAATAAGAACCAGACCCTAAAGTAATTGTCAAAATGTCAAAAGTAACTGCTTTTCCTTGATTCAACGTCATTAATTTTCAGGTAGGTACCTACCTTTCCATAGAATCTCCCTAATAGCTTGACCCGATTCTCTTGCTGGGCTATTCCACAAATAGAGTGCATTCTAAAGTGACACAAAAATCCTCCATAGCTTTCAGGAATTGGTGTGGGAATTCAGTGGAGACATTTGCATATGTTTTCAAATCACGTCTTTTGGTAAAGTGATGGGAAAGGAGTCTGTGGCACACGCTAGCAGTCCGGAGCTCAAAGTCTCCTCTTGAGTCTGCATCATCATAATGCTTGTGGGATCACCCTAAAGGTGCTAGAAAACAATGATGCTTGTGTGCAACCTGGATGAATTTGAAAATTAGCTGGTTTTCCTCAAGTTTGTCAGAGTTTCTAAAGTGGCTTTGGAAAGGGTACCAGTGCACATGAACAGGAAGCTTAAGTTAGAGAATTTTCATCGTTATCAATAATCCATACAAAAATTGGTTATTTCATTTTCTTGGGCTTTACATGAGACACCTTTCAGGGAGGCTGCCAACCTCATCATAACCCTCTGTTGTCTGATAGCTGCTCTCATGACACCATCATGAGGGGCTTTCAGTAGCCATGTTTGAATTTATAACCCTGTTCTTCTGGCGAGAGTTGATTGGACCAGGGAGAGGACACCTGGCTCAGGTTATGCCAGAGTCTCTTTCCCAGGAATTTGCAATTGGAACTCGGAGATAGCCAGTTAGTGTTTCTCAGTTGCTGTTAGTCCCAGGAGATCAACCTGGGGGCCAGAGTGTTGATCTTCTACTGTGTACAGAGAAAAGCCAAGAAAGCTGGTTTTCAAAGATAGGCGTAAGTAGATTCATAAAGAGAATTAGAGTCTGGGGGTGGAGGGAGATTTCGGATCTGGTTCCTGGCAGCTTTTCAGTTCTTGGTTCCTGTTCCTCTCAAAACCTGGCCAAATATCTTGCCAGAGTTCCATAAGAAACCCTTGCATCCTATGTTAAATTTTCCATCTACCTCATCCGCTTTTCCTCATCCTCTTAAACAGGCTTGAGTTAGTCCTATTGCATGTAATCACAGAGCTGGGACTTGATCCCTGGCCTTCTGGTCATCAGGCCAGCCAATGTTCTTTCTAGACTGGCTCCCTAGTGCCATCCATCCAACCATCCATCCATTCATCCATCCATCCATCCATCCATCCATCTATCCAGTAAATATAAACTAAGCTGGATTCTGCTGTATGACAGGTTCTGGGATACATGCTTTTTGTCCTCAACAAACTCACAGCATGGAAGGACCAAAGTTCTTTATGCTTATTTTTACTTCATTCCATGGGGTTCCCCATCTGGAGGGCACTTTGCTAACTTTGCTAACCCATGATCACAGCGAGTTCATCCAAGAATCTCCCAGAATATACTCCCATCATATATTCTCTGTGCTTCTTGTGTCATTCTTGCCTAATATCTGTAATAATCCATGTTCATACTGAATCTCCCCTGGGAGATCCTTGAAACCAGGGACTGTGTGTAAGTCATTACTTTTACTACCTAGCACAGAATCTGTAACAAGGTACTTCTCCAATAAATGTTTGCTCCTCTAAAGAATTTATTTCATTCCTTAGAATCTCAAGTGAGAGCTGTATATCAGTTAGCTCCTGCTAGGTAACAAACCACAGCAAACTTAGTAGCTTGCAGCAACAATCATGTATTATTATTCTCTCTCCTGGTTCTGAGAGTTGACTGGGATCAGCTAGATGATTCTTGCACAGGGTCTCTCATGCAGTTGCAGTCAGATGGTGGCTGGGTCTAGGGTCATCTTAAAGACTTTGTCATTCACATGTCTGATGTCTCAGTGAGAGGGCACAAACAGCTGGAGTCCGGAACAGCTGGGCTGTTCCACACAAGTGTTGTTTGCACAAGAGATGTCCAAGAGCATCTCTTTGTTCTTTCCAAGTACTCTCCATGTGGTAGCCTCAGAGTAACTGGTGTCTGAAGGCTCCCAGAGGTACTGCTTCAAGCTTTTGTAAACCTGACTCTCAAGTCTCTCGCACAGTGTCACTTCTGCAACATTCTGTTCTCAGAGGTCCTGCCACATGCAAGGAGGACACGATCACAGAGGTCCTGCCAGTTGCAAGGAAAGGGCACACAGACTCCACCTTCTGGTGGAAGGAGCATCAAAGAATTTGCAGATATGTTTCCACCTCTCCGCTTTATGCTTCTTCCTGCATGAGAAATGTGAAAGAAAATGAACACTTTTCAGGGAGGTTTCATTTCAGATGGAAGCTGTGATATTCAGACAACTGAGAGTTTCTTGCTTCACTGTCAGCCATATCCATTGCAACTAGTTTGCTAGCCCTAACCACAGTTACTCACAGAAATTTGCTAACTATGGACTTTAGTGGCCTAGGAGTTAGTATGGGTGGGCAAGGTGGATCTGGGCCTCGTTTTATCATGCAGTTCTTGTGTGCTGGGAACTAGTTAGGCTCTATGGTTATGAAGACTGTGATGAAAAGATGCCTTGGGGCGCCTCAATGTAGTCATATATGAGTGGTTCTGTCTTTAGTTGTCACCATGATGAGCATGTGCAGTTGACATTTCTTGAACAGGGGATTAGGATGTTAAATACCGTACCACATGCAAGCAAACCTAAAATGCTAATAATTTCTGACCTAATGTCAGAAACACAGTGAAGTGGGAGGGAAGCTGTGAGAAGTGCTCTCTGGAGTCCTCAGTAGAAACACATGGCACATGTCACCAAGGATGGCATCTGGTTTGTGTGCCACACTCTCCAACAACTGCACAGCTTCTGCCCTTCCTTTTCCCTCTGCGGCCTTGCTCTCCCTCAAGGTTCAATGCAAGCACCTCCCAACTCTTTCACACCTTCCCTGATTTCTAGAGCTGGAAAGTTCACCCCCTCCTGCACATAAAACATCCTTCTTCTTACCTTGTCCTTTGTTCTGATTGTTTTCATAGGTTTCTTTTCTGTCATTATTTTATGAGGCCAAGGAGAGATGGGACAGGTCCCCCCTCCATGTCCGCACAAGTGTTTAATAAGTATTTGCTTATTTATCTTCTGTTGCTCCTCTCCTGTCTACTCCTCTCCTCCCCTAAATGCCTGCACATTCCAGCCAGAGGACAGGAAGTCTGGGGTTTCTCTCCCTCTCCACTCCACACTGGGTCTGGCCCACTCTGCCTGATAAAAGTCAGGGAACCATCTGGCCTCTCTGACACCACCTCAGTAACCTTGGCCAGCCTGTTTTGATCTCAGCCTCCCTCTCTCCACCCGCTCTTGTGAACGCCTTCAACACTCAACATCTTGACCGCACACTTGGTTTTTGATCTCACTCTGACTTGTACTTTCAAATTAGATCCCTGGAATATCTCCATCTTCCAGAACTTATGGGGCTCCTGAAGGACAGAGGCCACACCACCTCTTTTTTAAAAAATTCCACCGATTGCAAGGTGTTACCTCCTTTGGAAACCCTTCTCTGACACCTCTGGCTTGAAAAATGGATTAAGTTTCCCCTTCTAGGGTTCTTTACCATGCTGGACATAGCAGATCATACTTTATCGTGATTGTCTCTTCACCTGCATGACTCTGTAGCCAAGGTGAGTGATCTTTGAGTAGAGGATGTTACGTATTTATCTATTTATAATAAAATAAAAATAGATTTGTTCATCTCTTCATCGAGCATTTTACACATCTATCTTTAGCAAGCCTGTGATAGATTTAAGAAGCCACAGCAAATGAAAAAGGCATGGTCACTTCCTCAAAGTTCACAACCTTGTGTGTTGAATTGATTTTTGTCTAGTTTCTTGCTACAAAGAAAATAGTACCTCCTTCAGTTTTCCTCTCCAGATTTCTCAGTGCTTTTCTGTTTTCTTAAAAAGCAGTAGAGCAGGGGGCCGAGTGCGGTGGCTCACGCCTGTAATCCCAGGAGGATTTGGAAGGCCGAGGCGGGTGGATCACGAGGTCAAGAGATTGAGACCATCCTGGTCAACATGGTGAAACCCTGTCTCTACTAAAAATACGAAAAATTAGCTGGGAATGGTGGTGGATGCCTGTAATCCCAGCTACTCAGGAGGCTGAGGCAGGAGAATTGCCTGAACCCAGGAGGCGGAGGTTGTGGTGAGCCGAGATCATACCATTGCACTCCAGCCTGCGTAACAAGAGCGAAACTCCATCTCAAAAAAAAAAAAAAAAAAAGCAATAGAGCAGATAATCTCTAATTGTTGAGGAATTTGGTTCAAAATTTGAAGCCAAAACCGCCCCATTCATGAGAGAGAATCTTCAAGTGACAGGGACTTCACCATTGCACTGCCTTGCTAACAAGAGCTCTTGAGATGTGGTCAAGTCAGCAGATTCTTTCAAATTTTGAAATATGGATCTTGCACAATGAATGGAGAAAGGAGGAAAGAATGGCTTGTGTGCCCTTTTGTGTTCCCTAAAGTTTACCTTCTGGGAAAACATGAATCTGGAATGTCAGCCTTGGTGGAAATGAGTTGGAATGCTGACTGGCACACATCTTGATTAAACAGGAGTTTCCGAGATTGTATAACTATGTGATCCCCAGAGGAATAGAAACTGATGGGCCAGAATGACAAACTTTTATTTTGAAAGCCACCCAGGCTCCACTTAGAGCCATCAAATGCTTGAGAATTTATTATGACTGGGCAAGCCGCTGCCTCACAGAGTCAGGCCAGGGTAGTGAAAATACACATAGATTTTTGTCTTTGAAGACCCTGAATGTGGCCTAGTTCTTCCTAGCAGCAGGCTCTCTACCAGGGCTGAAAGTACAACTATTGCATTTGCATGACATAGAAGCAGCTAAAACCTTCCATGGTGAGAATCACGCATCCTGCCGATGCTGAGGCATCTCCTGCTCACAGTACTGAAATCACAGAGGTGACTTATGATGTGTTCTGTTTGTGTTGGCCCAAAGCCCAAACCAGAAATGTATTTCAGCCTTAGCTTTCTAGATTGTGTCTCCAGTCATTTAAAAGTTCGTTAATGATGTGGACCCACTCATCCTGTCCTGCTATAGTTAAGGTCTGTCAGCATTTTTCAAAGGTTTATCATTCAACCACAAAGGAGAATGCAGTCTTTAGGTTGCAGTGTGACCTAAAAAGCTTAAGCTCAGGAGTCAGAAACTTTGCTTTTTTGTTGTTGTTTTTAAGTTATACCCTTACTAAGTTATAGTAAAGCAAAATAATAGCTAGTGGTTTTGTTTGTATTATTTGCTCTGGTTTTACAGAGATGGGAAAAGCTGCAAGTGACTTCTTGGAATGTAGATGTACCCAAACCCTGAAGAGTTGTTAGGCCTGTGGATTTACTTATCATCCTAGCATTCAGCTCAAGATGGGGGTTTAGTTTTTTAAAAATTACCATTTTAAAATTGGGATGGATGAGGCTGAGATAGTTAGAAAAAAGATTGGGAATATTTCTCCAAAACTCAAGGACCAATTCTCAAGCCAGGAACTTTGTATCCAAAATTTCAGTTAAAAGACTTTGGTCATATTAAATAGAAATCAAGTCATTGACCTGATGGTTCAGTATGTTTCTGCCCATAACTTCTAAGTATTTCAATTTTAAAATTCAAGTGAAACATGCACACATGATGATAAATATAAAATAACAAAATGATGCCTTCCCATAATAAAAATACTTGAAAATTTGAGGTAAAATAAATTAGATATTTAAACCCACAAAAATTCACTTTCTATGTCTGTTCAGCTGCTATAGCAAACTACCACAGACTGGATGGCTTATAAAATAACAGAAATTTATTTCTTACAGTTCTCAGGCTAGAAAGTCAAGATCAGAACACCAGCATGGTCAGGTTCTCTCTGGTGAGGGCTCAATTCCTGGTTCACAGACAGCTATCTTCTTGTTGTGTCCTCACATGGTAGGAGAGGCAGGGGATGTATGTCCCTGGGGTCTGTTTTATAAGGGGACTAATCCCATCCATGAGGGTACCACCCTTATGACTTCATCATTTCCCAAGGCCCCACCTCATCACCCTCAGCATTGAACATACAAATGTTAGGGGGCCACAAACATTCAGACCATATATCCACAAAAGCTTATAATCAGGAAAAGCTCTCTTAGAGTAATCTAATTGGTGGTTACCAAGGATCCCGTTAAATAACCTGCTCCTGGGGTAAAAATTAAGACTGGTTGGTATGGGAAGGAGGTTTTATCTGGATGGTCTCAGGTGAGTTAATAGTGAGAAAAGTTTTAATGACAGTAGGTTACAAAATGCGGATTGGGAGTAGGAACAGGAGAAGAGTGTCAATGGAACTGAATTCTAGTTCTAGCTGTGTAGAGTCTAGCTATGCTAAAACCTCTATAAACCTTAGTATCTTCCTTACAATGGGGCTGGAAAATCCTCTGTGTATCACAGGGTTCTGGTGAGGATAAAATGCTATAATGCATGTAAAATGCCTGATAGAATCAGCACCCGACACACGTTCCCTTCTCCCTATACCTGAGACTCAAAGCAGTCTAAATGCTGGAGACCAGCCACTCGCGTTTGGTATAGATATTTTCTGAAGAGGAAAAAGTAGTTTCCCTGAGCTCATAAGAGTGTATTTACATACAATTGGCCTATTTGTAAAAAAGATCTACTCATTAAAATAAGCCTCTAGCTAGTGAAGTCAAAGTTTTCTTAAACTCCTTTGAGTTGCTCATGCTAAGTGGACTTCCTAAGGAAGGACCTATAAAAGTGGCTGTCTTTCCCCATTAACTCTGATTTATAGGGGGTTTTGCTCTAAGTGCATATTTGCAGAGCCATTCCTAATGTCTGTGTGTTCCCTCCCCAAAAAGGAGGCACATGATTGGCCATTTGTTGTCTTTGGTCCAGTGGATGCTCTTTAAACCCACTCTTACTACTCAGTAGTCAGTAGCCAACCTCAGCTTGATGCATTAGTCCTTGTGTTCTCAAGAAAATGTGTTCAGACAGGAGCCAGCCCAGCACTGCACTTCTTTTCTTTTCACTTTTAATCATTATATTCCCTGGTTTCCAGCAGGTTCATTCAGCCAGAAAATGTTTATATTCATCGTACCACCTCTATACTTAACCTGGGGCAGAGGTTTGGATAGTGGAGAATGTAAGATGAAGGGTTGGGTTGGAGATGTGATTTCACTCTTTATCAGTAATGTGACTTTAGGCAACACACTTAATGTTTCAGCACTGGTTTCTTCTTCTGAAGAAGGGATTGTAGTGGAGAATACTCCTGAGAATTTTTGAGGAATAAATTAATTACAGGGGTTAGCAGAAAGCCAGGCAAGAATCAGTGGTCAGGAAATGGTAGTGATAGTTACTGTAGCCAAGTATTCTCTTAGTCACTGCACAGGAGAATCATTTGGAGAAGGGTTTTTTTTAAATGCTCATGTATAGACTCCATCCTCGAACGATTAAATTAGAATCTCTAAGGGTGAGAACCAGGTATCAATATATTTTTCTGGAAAGCTTTTGACATTCCAAAGATGGATTATCTCCTTTAACCCCCACAACATCCCTAATGGGTAGGTATCATTATTAGCCCATTTCAGAGTTGAGGAAACTGAGACTCAGAGAGGTTGCTGTGACTTAACATCAAGTTAGAGGTGGTGCTCTGATATGAAGCCAAGCAGTCCAGCTCCAGAGCCTATGCTCTTGGTTGGTGTGACACCATCTATTATTATAAGCAGGACCTCCAATGAGATGTCCTATGCGAACTAAGATCCAGCACGTGGGGTCATCCGATGGTCTCAGGTTCCTTCATACCCTCAGCTTACCCACCTCCTGCTCCTACCTTCAGCTCTATGCATTCAAGACTTCCCAGCAGCCCTGTGTCAGATAATGAACTGTGGTTATTCAGAAGTCCCCTGCTATTTCGGCTGATTTTATTAAACGCAGCTTGTGGCTTCGACTCAAGAATGTGCAAGCTGATTTAGATTATGCTTTGCATTGAGTTTATTAAGATAAAAAATATTTCCCGAGATAGTGAGTCAGAAGTATTTATGGCAAAGTGTGCTGAAAGTGAATGCAGGTTGATAGCGTGAACAGAATGTTCTCTCCAAGTCAAATGCGATGACCTAACTGTGTTTGGCAGCCTTCCTTTATGTTTAGCTAAGCATTTTATTTCATGTTGGGAACCTCCTCCCTCTCCTGAAAAGCATCAGTCATGTGGGAGGCTAGGATTTTGGCATATGCCTCCTTTGATGCCGAGACCCAGGCCCTAAGCCTAATTGTGACTGGCTCCTTGGCTGACGGGTGGGTTGCCATGGCAAAGGACTGCTCAACTTTTTATATCTCAGTTTCTCTCACTTGTCAAAATGGGAATATAACTCTTGGCCCCACCTCCCTCCCTGAGGAGAGATGGTGGGGGGGGGGGCGGGGGCGGGGGCGGGCACTTCAAAAATTAAGTAATAAATGTTGGGAAGGATTTGTGGATTTGTGGATGTGACATCTTGTCAAGTGGCTAAGTAATAAATGGGGTGTCTCCAAAGCTAATTTGCCTAAAATTCACTTGAGCCTTCCATTTACTTCATCAACCAGCATTTATTAAATACCTGTGAAGTTCACGATAACACATGAAGTGTTATCGTGAATACAAAAAATGAAAAAAGGAGTAAATAGAGTCTCAATTCCCAGAGAGCTCATAAACTTTTTTCTTGCCGTTCACTTTTTTTGGTTCATTAAGCCTCAGTACAGACTATGCCTGTGCTGTATTTAAAAAGCTCATTCTCAATGATGACTTCCAGTTACATCATAAGCAACTAGTGGTGATTTAGTTGTTTTCAGTACCAGTGGGTATTGTCACGTGCTTGATGGACTCATAAAAAGGCAAGAGTATTTTTTAGTCTAGGTTATGAGTAGTGCAAAGGACAATGAAAGACTACAGGTTGGATTGATTGGGAATCCAACTGCATCAGATTATAATATGGCCTCTGCTGTTTAAAGGCCTGGGTTTGGGTCCTGGCTCTGCCACTTTCTGGCTGTGTGTGACTTTGGGAAATTCCTTAACTTCTCTGTGTCTCTGTTTCCTTATCTCTAAAATGAGGTTAATTTTAGAGTCTACCTCATAGGATTGTTATCAAGTTTAAGTTAAAGTGTGTAAGATGCTCCGAATAGTGCCTGGCATTTTGTAAATGCTCAGAAAACTGTTAGCTACGATCATCACTTCCTATTGTCAATGGGAAAAAATGGTGGAACTAAAGGATACTGGCATTTCATTTCCTTACATTGTAAAAATAACAAATCCTTTTTAATTCAGAGTCCCAAACTTTTGCCCAGATCTGACACAATCACTTGGGATTGCCCCAAAGCCCCAAATGGCTTGTTTGGAAATAGAAAACATGCCATGCATGCCACTCTGCTCTCTGACTCATACCGCTCAGGGCCTGAGCTAACCCATTTTGTTCTGAAAGGCTTACACCAGTCTAAGACCACAAGGGCTGGGAAAGGGCAGCTATGGAGTGTGATGGAAAGAGCATTGGGCCTGGAGTCCAAATCCTGGCTTTGCCTTTTATTAGCTGTGAACTCTGGGATAGGCCTTTAAGTCCTCTGAACTGTAGTTTACCCATCCTAATTGTGCAAAAGCAATGGTGAGTGAAACTGCTAAAACCAATTCAGGCAATGGCACCAAACTGTACCAAACTAGTGGTCACTGTACACTCCACTGCCATAAACTTGTAGTTAAAAAAAAAGCCAATTGCACTTAAGAATGTCTTCCATGGAGCAGAAAATTTATTAATCGTATTAAATCTTGACCCTTGAATACATGTATTTCTAATATTTTATATGGCAGATGGGCAGTATACATAAAGTAATCCTGCCAAATAGTATGACTGTCTCAAAGAAAAGCATTTGAGTTCTGAGCTGAACTAGCCACTTTTTCTTTAAAGAATGACCAACAGAAAAATTATGGTTAGTTATTCTTGAATATTCTTTAAAATGAGCAAAATGAACTGGCCACTTCAAGGAAACAGTAGTAGCAGTTGCCAATTATAAAATTTGAACTTTCAAGCAATAATTAGAATTTGACAAAACTTTTAGCTACCATCACAAGCTTGAGAGCTTCTTCTCAATCATAACTGATGACACTGGTGGTGATATAAATGCATTTGAATTTTCTATGTTAGATAAGTAAGGGTGTCCACATTTTGAAAATGAACATAACTCAGTAAACCAGTGTTTTCTAAATGGGCAATGTATCGTGTTACAAAATCATACGTAGAATAACCATTCAAAGTACAAAATAAATCAATCTATTATAATGTGATAGATTATGAAAAGTTTGTTGATATGGTTTCAGATTTCACATTGCAACCAACCTTTAAGAAACTACCACCTATCAAATTTTGATGTAGTATCAAAGAAGAAGAATATCCTAAATCATCTGAAAGACTATTAAAAACCATTCCCTTTTCCAACTTTGGGAAGCCAGATTTTCTTTAACCAAAACAACATACCTCAATAGATTGAATGGTGTAACAGGAGGCTTCAGCTGTCTGGTTTAAAGGCAAATAATAGATGTGTAATAATTTTTTTAAATGCCACTTTTCTCACTATTTTTGATGTATGTGTATGGAAAATATTTTTCACTAAATATTTTTACTAAAATATTTATGTTAAGCAATGGGACTGTCCTTATTTTTAAATAACTTTCTCCTTGGGGGCATCAGTATTTTTAAGATTATCTAGGAGTCCTGAGACCAAAAATTTGAACACTACATCATAGACTCTGGAGCAAAAATAATTTGTTTTAAATCTTGCTTCTACTTACTGTATGATCTTGGACAACTTTCTTAACCTTCTCTGTTTCTAATATGTAAAACGTTCATGCGAATACCTGCCATGACAATAAATATCATTTAGATATTATGTATTATCACCATCATTATGATATCACTATGGTTGTCAGTGACATCATCATCATCATTATTACTAGTATTAGCACTGGGAGACATTTGTTCAGGGACACAGAGCTAGAGGTGGATTCAGTGGAAATGGAATTTTTTCCTTAAGCCAGACTGTACCCTACCTCCTATTTACCGTCTGCCATCTCAACATTTGCAGTCTAGGGAAGAATGGAAAAGAGGATGAGAAATCTCCCATAGCACATATCATCAGAACTACTGAATCAAACCACTGAAAAAGGTACGAACAGTCAGGTTTACATGTAGAAGCCAGATTGCTTTGTGTAGCATTCAAGCTCACTGGACACCGCTACCTGTCATCCAGTGGTTCTGCAGATGTCCATACAGAAACACAAACTGTCTCAGAAGAAGCACACCAGACCTCAAAGGCCCAGGTAATAGATTATGAATCCAACGCCCAGGATGCATAACCTATTGATAATAGATGTGTATTATCAATAGATTATGATAATAGATTATGAGTCCAATGTGAATTGAGTCCAGTGTGAATTTCCTCTGCACTGGACACCTTTGCTGGGATGCCCAGGTGTTCTCTGAAGGGACTAGTCCAGAACCAGGATTGTCACCCCGAGCTTTGGGTGTAGAGAGGAGAATGGGTCCCCCAACACGAGGCTACTGCGGAAGGACCCAGATGGTTCTGGGAAGAGAATGGATCATGGTCAGAGGCTTGTTCACAACAGGGAAAATAGCAGTCAGTGACAGAAACATGCATTTTTATTTGATTTTATTTCAGTCATGAAATGCTTTTGTGTTCTTTAGGCAAAAGATTGTTCTAATGCTTCTGGTCTTTGCCAAACTGAGGACCAGACAGTCTGTTAGTTCTCCTTACTAAGTGAGCAACTACAGGTGGTAAACAAATTTGAACCTTCTTCTTTGTTGGTGGAAAATTAAAACCAAATTCCCTGTTTGTGGCAAGTCTCCTTCGTTAGGTAAACACCAAGATTTATTTGCATTTCCTTTGTTCTCTCTGGAAACACACTGCTTGGACCATCTACTACACTGATGTCACAGTGCCCTGCAACCCTCGTGTTTGTTTTTACGTATTTATTTTATGGAGCAGTTCTGGTGAGGTGCCTGCCTCTGGAGGGAAACCAGAAAGAACATCAGCTAGCACCCGGGGCTACAGCTTAGGCCCATTAACCAGACAGTCTTGGCCGAAGTTGGGGAGGAGCACAACCCTGTGGGTATGTGTGTGTCCGTGGCCCACCTTGGTTTAGGGAGATATTCCAACTCTGTAGCCCTCAGTGGGTCTCATGGTACTAGAGCAGTCTGGTGAAGTGAAAAGACTTGGGGTTGGCAGCCAGAGAGATGTAAATTGGACCTCAGTTCTGCCACAAGGCCTCCGAGAAGTCACTTAACCTTTCTGATCCTAGGTTTCCGCATTGTAAAACAGTGATAATGTCTGATCCTAGGTTTCCGCATTGTAAAACAGTGATAATGACTTCTCCTTTGCAAGGTTATCATGCAGGTGAATACTAAAGTAAAGCCCTAGCATATAGTAGGACTTCTAAACCGTCCAGAACTGGCCAGCTGCCTCAAATGGACTTTCTTTAGGTGCTTGGCTGAGCATGAGGATTAAAGGCCATTAGTGATGGAAGCTTTGGGCAGTTTCCTGTGTAACCATGGGGCAAATCTGCTCATCTCTAAGACATGATTTCCTCATCTGCACTGGAAATCATGGTGTGCCTTTCTTACTTCTCTAGATTGTTAAAGGATAACAGGAGACAGGCTGTCAAAACATTTTGTAACCTGAAAAGCAGTATACAGACTTTGAAAATAATAGTAACAACATTAATTCACATTTTTACATGCTTCCTTTTTACCAAACACTGGTTTAAGTGCTTCCCAGATGTCACCCAATTTCATTTTAATGCTCCTCTAACAGTTCCCTCAGATGGAGCTCTGTTTATTGTTCCTGTTTTTCAGTTAGTTAAACTGAGGTACAAAGAGGTTAACTTGCCCAAAGTCATGCAGATAGGCAAGGGGCTGACCTGAATTCAAACCCAGCCAATTGAATTCCAGAACCTGTCCCATGGAGTATTAATTACTATGCTTATAGTGGCATTGTTATGTGATTACATTGCTATCTCTAAGTTTCTCTCCACAGAGGGTACATAGTTATCTATTCTCAAGGAATGAGATGGGGCTATAAAGGTATAATAGAGGCTCCATAGAGCCATCTGCTAATTAGTCTCCCTCCTTTCTGGGCATACCTCAAACATCTTAGGAACATATGTGCTTACATCCATGAGCAAACACATTCATGGATTGAGTATAGATATATATAGACTGGAGAAACAGGCCCAAAGATAGAGATCAAAATATAAATGTTAGGAAGCAAAGCATTAGCAAGATCACTTATGGACTCATGAAACTGTTGTGAAGGATAATTATTCATTGGCTTAAGTGAGATGGAAAGTGTCATTATGGTAATGCAGTGCTCAAGCTTAATCTCTCCTACTGCACACATGATACATGCCATTCATATGTGAGACACACTCCTGTGAGGCTGCCCAGATGTTCACAATGTTCCTCCTGAATTGAGGATGGGGGGGAATTTGAGCAAATAATGAATCAGTTATTTTTAGCATTTATGAACTCATTTTACAGACATTTGGGCAATTAAATTACCCAGTTAAATAGCTCAAAAAAAGTTACTTTTCAATAAATTCCATTAAATTCAACAAATTTGATGCACTCTGCCTGTGCTGTCCAATACAGTAGCCACTAGCCACATGTGGTTATTTAAATTTAAAGGTTGAGTTTTCAATTGCTGCAACCATATTTCCTGCATTCAGTAAGCCCTGTGTGACTAGTGGCTACCAATCAGCGCAGATTATGGAACATTTCTATCATTGCCAGAAGTTCTGGTGGATAACGCTGTTAGACAGTAGTATACACTGAGGATGCAGTGATGACCAGAACATTCCTATTTCTGCCCTTATGGGGCTCATAGCTCTGCAGTGAAGACAGCTGCTGAACAAGTCACCCCAGATTTGGACCTAGGAGGATGCAGGACAATGAGATGGTATGGCAGGGGTCTACCCAAGAAGGGGTGTCCAGGAAAAATAACCACCAAAGAAAGCGCCCTACACATGAATAACAGCAAATTTTTAAAATAAATCAAATTTAATTTAAAATAAATTATTTTCTCTGCAACTGGATACTACAACTAATGTTTAAATACTTTATTGAATAAGCTTAAATGAAACTATTTTGTTATTAAAATGTATAATGCAATAAATCTTAAGAGGAACAAAATGCAAAATGTATATGCAGCATGATTCCATTTATATGAAGTTCTGAAACAGGCAAAATTAACTCATGATAATAGAAATTAGAACCTTAGTTGCTTGGAGGAGGGGTGGGAGGGAGTGGTTGGGAGCAGGGACCAACTACAAAAGATTGTAGGGTACTTTCTAGGGGCATTGGTTACATGGGTGTAGGCATTTGTCTGTACTCATGGAACTGTATAGCTAAGATCTGAATAACATACAGTATTGAATATTGAATTTATATATATGTGATTGAAAGAATTACATATTGCAACATTAAAGTTATGGTTGATATGAGTAACATTATGGAAATATCCATTGCTTCATACTCTATCTGCCTCTGACCTGGCCTTCATAACCTTATGTTGTCAGTAACAGAAAAGTTTTAGGCATCCTTTCTGATCTTGTGCCATGTGGCTATGAATGTGTTATTCCTGACCCTGACAGATTCTTACCTGACCCTGGAGGAACCAATGAATTACATCATCATGTCCCTGGCACAGACAGCAGAACTGCGCTGCAAAGTCTCTGGGAATCCACCTCCCACCATCCACTGGTTCAAAAATGATGGTCCCGTGGTCCAGGAGCCCCCGAGGATCTCCTTTTGGACTACCATCTATGGCTCTTGGCTGCGGCTTTTTTCAATTGTTGATGCTTTCTTCCTTATCAAAAGTGGACAGACTGGAAGGATGTTTGTCAGGATGTTAAGAATGGTGTTATTTTTGGGTGGGGAGATTTGAGGTGAGCTTTATTTTCTCTCTCTTTTGCTATGTTGGAATTTGGAACAAGGAGTGTATATGATTTTCACAATCTGAAGCATGAAAGCTCATCCATGTAGTCATTTGGAGACTTTGGGTTTTACACTCTAATTAGTAACAATTTTTCTTTCGAGCAGCAGGTTCTATGGGTGATTATTTAGCAGTCCTATGGTCTTGGTCAATGTGATTGTTTCATTTCTTGTGTGTCTAACCTGCTTTTCCTGCTGAGCCTCTCTGTGATCCGGAGGGGACACTAGAGGGGATTTGGCTGCTTGGAAGCACTCTGCAGCTGTCTGCCCCTCTCACCTGCCTCCTCTCTGTGTTCACAGATTCTTACCTGACCCTGGATGAACCAATGAATAACATCACCACGTCCCTGGGCCAGACAGCAGAACTGCACTGCAAAGTCTCTGGAAATCCCCCTCCCACCATCCGCTGGTTCAAAAATGATGCTCCTGTGGTGCAGGAGCCCCGGAGGATCTCCTTTCGGACCACCATCTATGGCTCTCGGCTGCGGATCAGAAACCTCGACACCACAGACACTGGCTACTTCCAGTGCGTGGCAACAAACGGCAAGAAGGTGGTTTCTACCACTGGAGTCTTATTTGTCAAGTTTGGTAAGCAGACCCCTACTGGGGATGGACTTCGACGGTCAGCCCAATGTGGTAGGATGGCTGGAGTCCACAGGGACAGGAAGGAAGGAATATGCACACTTACGGAGAATATACTCTGTGCCCACAACCCTAAACCTGGCACAGTTGTACCCATTTTACAAATAAGTAAACCAAGGCCCAGCAGTTAATTACCATGTTACCCAGCTAGTAAACAGCAGAGCAGGAATAAGGTCTGGGTCTTTCTGATCTCACAGCCCTATGTGAAACCATCATGCCATTGAGCACTTCTCAGCAAGAATGCCCCTTATCCAAGAAGCTGGAAATGTGTGCAGCATGCATAGCCCTTTTCCTGCCATCAAGGACTAAAAAGAAGCCTCACTCACTGTTGAAAATACCCTCATGCAACCACCCAGCCCACTGGAAACTCCCTGCATAGTTTGAGGATGCTTACTCTATTAACTCATTTTTTAGTACTTGCCTTAGCATTTTCAGACTCTGAATTGTGAGACATAGACACATTCTCACTGGTATTTTTTTTTTCATAGAGGTGTCTGGGGGAATAGAGCAAAACAGTAAATTCCAGAAAAATAAATATTACCTCTGGGTGGTTGAGAATTTTAATTTGTAATGATTTGACTGTATCCGTACTCACCCTCCAGTAACCCAAGCTAACTGTTTCTTTTGTTTTCCTTTCATTTCTTCAGGTCCCCCTCCCACTGCAAGTCCAGGATACTCGTAAGTACTTTTGTCTCCTTTCTTGTCATTTCTAAGTGTTTCTCCACAGTTTTCTAGGGCAAAGGCAATGTTGTCCTCTTCTTAGGCCAAAACACTGTGTTTCCAGATGTCATTCCATTTTGCCCTGCCCTCATTCCATTTTGCTTGTTCTCTGCTGTGAAGACTCACAGGAGACCACCATTGGCAGAATTCTCAAGTGTAGTAATTTTGGTTTTGAATGATCAAAACAAAAATCTTTCATTTACTGTTTTAGAAGTAATTTAACATTCAGTGGCAAAAATGGATTGATTTGGTAAAAATCAAACAAAAAATGATATAGTGCTGGCATGGGAATCTTTACTCTCAGGGTCTGTCTATGTTTCTGCAAGCAATTTTGATGCTTTAATTATCGATCAGGGCAACAATGAGGTAATCACCTTGTTTTTCACTCCCTTTAAAGAACTCACAGGCAGAAGTTCTCACTTATACTGGGGAGGAAAGTCCCAAGGTTGGATTGAGAGTTGCATGGAAGTTTGATTCATTTTGAGTCCCTTGTTAATGGAGTCTAAAGATCCAATTTCTTTCACTGATGCTATTGTTGGTGCATTTGTCTTGGCGAAAGGATTCTCATCTTTCGCTTTAAGAGTATCTACTTGGGACATTTTTCTTTATGTATATTTTTATTTGAGTGGAAGGACCCACTTATTTAAAACTCTTCCTCTATAAGAAAAAAACCCTCCATTCTCTGTAGACTTCTGAAATAAAATTTACTGGGCTCTGCCACAAGAGCATCAAAATGTCTGATCTAGACTATACCCCTGGCAAATATAACAGCCACTTAATTTGCTCCAGTCCCCTCTGTGTCACTAAATTACAGTGTAGGGTATTTTAATGCATTTGTGTGCGCCTGGAGGCCCAGTGGCCCACAATCCCATTAATGAAATAGGTAATGGGTAAAAATAAACATTGGCCTTCAGCCACACAGTTCTGCTGTTTCACCAGCCAGTTAAAGGCAACTGTAATAGAGTCTTTAAAATCACTCAAGTGCTAATTGCATTCTACTTGCCCAGGTAGAAAATGCTGATTGATCTTAAAACAGGTCAGAAATTTGGTCACTCAGCCTTGCATTTCTTGATGCTAATCTTTTTTTATTTTTTTTTTTAATGGTTTCACCATTGGTTATATGTGGAATCCTTTTGAAGTCTTATTTAAACAAAGATTAAGACTTTTGTTACTTGTAAAAATGCCTCCCACCCTGGTACCTTATTTGTTCCTGTTAATCTGTGTTTCAAATGTGGCTGATAATCTATATCCCAGGCTGATTAACGTGGTTCACTAATCTGCCTTTACTATTAAGTACTGTGCTGTTGACTTTCAGTCTGTTGTATTTGCATTAGAGTTCTTTTTTTATTATCAAAATTATGATTATACCCTTCTGTGTCCTTCTTGAAGTTTTCATTCTTCACCGCCATCTTTCTGATGAACCCAATCTAAGTCTCTCACATTTTTTAATTTTATGCAAGGATTTTATGCCACTGTTGTGAACTGATACCTATGGAGAGGGTATTGAAGTTCCTTAAAGATACTCAACCACAGCTAAAAGTATCCTTTGATGTCAGGCAACTGTGTTTTATATTAGCTGTCAGATTATCTATTACATTAGTCAGTAATGGCATGAATGGTATAGTTACCATGTTTGCTTGCAGGGAGTAACAATAAATACAATTCGAATTGGAAATCCCATGAGGCCTTTTGCAGTTATGCCTCAGTTCTCTTTTTGGCATTCCTTGTTGGCGTTTTGGTACCTTTTTTCTTCTTTCCTGGTAATACATGCTGCTTTTATCTCTTATCTTAATTGCCACCACTTCCCCTGTCTCTAGGAGTTCTTCACTTCCTGAGACTAACTCTCAAATACAATGCTGGTTCCCATCCCTACCTGCAGAGTAGCCCTCAGTAGGCAGCCAACCCTCTCACAAAGGGGAAAGGCAGAAGATAACAAAATGATACCCATGGGGAATATCACAACATTGAGGTTCCTCTGAAGATTTTTTGTCAAATTGCATACTACTATTTCCAAAAGAAGAGTGAAGTACAGTTATAAATTGCTTTGTTTATTTGAAAGTAGCACAAGGTTACTGCAAAAGAAATAAAAGGAGTATCCATGATGTAACCCTAACATTCAGAACATAAGAACCATGAAATATGGTAGGTGTATGAAACCTGGTGAGAGCTGAGGTCCATTGAGGCAACAGGACTATACAAATCCTGCCTGGGAAGCGCTTGTAGGGACCCTTGGGACTATGGCCCAGAAAGGCACCTGTCACTTCCTCTGAGGGACTGCATCAGGTTTCCACATGAAGCCTTCAGAATGATATTTTAGTTTATAGTAGTAGCAGGCTTGACATTTTAGTTTGGTTTCTGTTCATAGCTTTAGTTTTCATGGATCCTGGCCCACCCCTGACAATTACAGGGCCTGGGCCATGACTGCAATAGAGATTCACATACCATACGTCTAAATACTTAAAAGTTATAAATCAAGCTAGCAAAATTGTTAAATAAAATATGTTCTATCTTCCCACAGTGTCAAATATACTTTTATAATGATAAAATTTAAAAATACATATAAAATTATGGGGTTTTTTAAATGACTAAGTGCCAGTAACTATCAAAAATGACTATTTTAATCATTATTATGCATGTCTGTATGTTCTGTTCATGGGCCAAAGATATTACATATAATTCATAGATTGTTATATATTAGTTCCATAAAAATTTGTTTCCCTTCCTTTCAGCAAAATGACTTCCTAAGTTATTTTTTACAAGAGTTTTACAGTATATATTCTATTGATAGCATTGCTAAATTAGACAAATTTCTTTTTCTTTTCCTTTTTTTTTTTTTTTTTTGAGACAAGGTCTGGCTCTATCACCCAGGCTGGAGTGCAGTGCTGTGTGATCTCGGGTCACTGCAACCTCTGCCTCCTGGGCTCAAGCCATCCTCTCACCTCAGCCTTCTGAGTAGCTGGGACCACAGGCACGCACCACCATGCCTGGCAAGTTTTTGTATGTTTTGTAGAAATGGGGTTTCTCCATGTTGGCCAGGCTGGTCAAGCTACCCACATACCTTGGCCTCCCAAAGTGCTGGGATTATAGGTGTGAACTATTACACCATTGCAGCAGGTCTGGATAAATTTCTGAAGTCCTTGTAATTCTTGCTTTTCTTTTCTTCTTCCTCTCTCTCTCTCTCTCTCTCTCTTTCTTTTTTCTTTCTTTTTTTTTTTTTTTTTTTTTTTGACAGGGTCTCATTCTGTCATCCAGGCTGCAGTGCAGTGGCATGTCCTTGGCTTACCACAATCTCTGCCTGTGCATTCAATCAATTCTCCCACCTCAGCTTCCCAAGTAGCTGGGACTACATAGCTGGGAATACAGGTGCTAGCCACCATGCCCTGTTGTAATTCTTACATTGTAAAACTAATTTTAATTTGGAGAAACTTTACTCCCTGGAGCCAGTGGAACTATAGTTATCAATAAAATTCCTAAAGTGATACTTAAATTTGTAAATTAACTAAGAATTTTACATGCCATGTTAAAACACAGAAATGGGATCATATATAACAAATAATTATTATTGCAGAATATGTTACAAAATACTATAATTTAGTCATAAAATTAGTATCATGCTTCATACATTATCCGAGGTTTGTACAAATTTAAGACTAATATGAATTGTTTAACATGTTAATTTTCTTGGGCAACTGGAAAGTATCACAAACTGCATGGCAAAACAATAGAAGTTTAGTATCTCATAGTTCTGGAGGCTAGAAGTATGAGATTAGTGTATTCATGGGATAAAGAGTGTGCATAGAGCCCTTCACTTCTTGGGATCTGACAATGAGTTCTCGCACAATGTAACTAAAACCTTAGACATCCACTGCTGTGACCAGCACTGTTCTGGCCCAGGGAACATTTCTCTACATGTCTTGTCCTCTATCCTTGGAAAAGAAGGTGACCACAACCGCATACTGTCAAAGTTTTGTGTATTGTGACACTGCCAGTGGAGGAAATGAACACTTCTTAGAGCCCAGGAAAAACTGCTGTGGCAGAACCACTTCAGCAGGAGAAAAGATAGATTAACCAATTTGTCAAATTCTTCCTCTCAGTTTGAATGCAGAAGATTCTTGCACAACAAACTTCATTCCCAATATTACCAAACATCTATTTTCATTATATTGCAACCAGTGTTTCTGAAAGGGCTCACAGATGAGAATAACATTTGTAAGAGTTTTGTAAGGCTGAGAAAAACTTTGCAATATCAAGTGTTATGAGTTGAACTGTGTTCTCCTCAAATAGGTATCTTGAAGTCCTAATTTCCAAGTATCTCAGAATGTGACCCTATTTGGAAATATGTCTTTACAGAGATAATCAAGTTAAAATGAGGTCCTCATGGTGGATCTCATTTTATGACTGGTGTCCTTATAAAAAGGGGAGATTTAGGGCTACACATATAGGAAGGATATCATGTGAACACAAAGACAGGTTGGGGAGATGTGTCTATAAGCCAATGAATACAGAAAAATTCTGGCAAACTTCTAGAACTTCTAGTTCTGATATTGGCCTCAGAATACATTGGGAAGTATTCTTTTATCTTCCATATTTTAAGAAGAGTTTTTAAAGGATTTTTGTTAATTATTTAAATGTTTGGTATAATCACCAGAAAAGTAATTTGGGACTGAATTTTTCATTGTAAAAAGTTTTAAAATTACTGGTTCAACTTTCTTACTTGTTATAGGGCTATTCAAGTTTTCTATTTCTTCTTGAGTCAGTTTTGGTAGTTTATGTCTTTCTAGAAATTTTTCCATTTTATCTACATTATCTAAGTTATTTTATTCCTTTATCGTTCTCTTAATTTCTGTAACATCAGTAATGATAGTCCCCTTTTCATTCCTAATTTTAATAATTTGTGTCTTTTTTTTCCCCTTGGTCAGACTGGCTATCTAACTAAAGTTTTGCCAATTTAGTAGGCA